GAACAGTCATAGACTCCCGCAGCCCACGGTGGCCAGTTTCACGGGGAGATCAGAAGTCAGGGATCCTGGGAATGTAAGACTGTCATTGGCTATGTCCCTAACCTTTGAGTTCCACCTCCCTTGCCCTGGGGTGCAGGGAGCAAGAGGAACGTGGTGTGCGTTGAGGCTGGAGAGACAGCCCTAGGAGTCTTCTTTCACCTCCCTCACGAGGTCTACCCCTCTTCATTACTTGCTTTTCCAACCCCTTTCCCTGTAGCACCTGGCACAGTTGCCATTTCATATCGACTCGTGTCATTATTTGATAAACGTGTCTTCCTCACTACACTCCGCGAGGGCAGGTCCCTTGTTTGCTTCGTTCACCATTGTATCTCCAGCACCCGCACAGCGCTAGGTACTCGGTGGTTGCTCCAGAAGTGTCTGCTGGGTGAAAGAAGGTAGACATTTCCATTCTTTCAGCCTATAAAGAGAGAGCGGTGGGACAAAGGTGTTCCCCTGTGGTTGCGAGTGGGTAGGTTGAGGCCATGACGGGAAGAGCAGGGCAGTATGGTTACTCTTCTAGGATTAGCTGCCTGTGCCAACGTGTCACACACGTTCTCTCGCCCCCTCTATGCCCTTGCCCTAGGAGAGGTCCCTTGTCATGGTCCCATGAATGGCTCCCGCCAGGGAGTGTAAGAGCTCGGGGCTCTAGAGCCAGGCTGACAAGGTTCAAATTCTAGCTCTACCACTCACTACCACATATCCTTGGGCCAATCACGGAACTTCCCTGCCTCAGTCTGCTCATCCGTAAAATGGAGCTAATAACAGTTCTAACTTTGTTGGGAGGATTAAACGAGATATTACGCACGTAAGTACTTAGACTACAGCCTGGCACAGAGTAAGTGTGACATATGTACACTGTCTACACGGGCTTGGCTCTCAATACAGCAAAGAGCCTATCCCCAAAACCTCTCCCTTGTCTAGAGTCCAAGTACATAGCCTTCCCCTTTGCTTTGGCAAGGTAGGCAGGAGACAGGAAGCAGAAATGATAAGCGGGGTAGAGGCAAGTTGGGGGTGGGTCTGGGTTTGAGGCCTGCCTGCCCAGAATGTGGCAGTCGTATGAGAATTTTCTTCTGATCAAGTTTCCCTTCAGGTTCCAGTGGCTGTTTGCACGCCACTTCCAGTCCAGATGAGGTTTGCTCAAGTGCCAGCAAGGATATGCCTCCTGCCAATGTTCTGACCACCCCAGCCTCAAGGACAGGTCTAAATCCCTGAGGCTGGGGTTGAGATCCAGTCCGTGGCTCAGACTGCCATGTGACCCAGGAAGAGAGGCGCGCACCCGGGTCTGGGGATGGCGCAGACAGCCTGTGTCAATGGGGCCCTTTATGTGCAAGCTCAGCACTCAAAAGTTATTTCTTCTGCAGTATTTTGCCTGCAATTAGGGTGGTCAGCATAGGGGAGAAGTGTGTCTGCATTCCCTGCTGTAGGAGTAATATGCTTATGCAAGACAGACCTTTGTAGAAACATCGGTTAAGCAGGAAAAAAAATAATGAGGTGCTTCCAAAATTAGCACTTCAAAGGAGATTCAATCACATTCTACACAACTGAAAGATGTAAAGAAATTAGGGGCAGAGAGAAAAGCATCAATTTTATGAAAGTGGAGGACTGAGCCTTCACAGGGAAAGATGAAAGAGAAGGGTTTATTGAGGCTGGAGGAGAGATGGCGGAGAAAGAACTTCGCGAATTGGCAGGTGTGTGAAGGGATAGCGCATGATCAGGCAGAGCTCGCTTTTATGTGTTGCTTCTGAGGGCACCATAAAAGGAAAGAAAGTTAAATTGTGACAAGAGAAGAGTCGAGAAGATGGTGAGTCCCAGGATCTGTTACCACAAGAGGGACGAGAAATGACGTTCTATGTGTGGAGATTAAGTAAAGAAAAAAAGGCAAGACTATCAGACAGAGAGGAGAGGGTGCAATCGTACTTAACCCCAGGCCAATAAATACAATAATATTATATGAAACATAATCATTGTCTCGTATGAAGCAACAACTCTGTATAAGAATTTCCCCTAGCTCTTCACGTCATCTTGGTTAATTTTTACAACCTTTCCATGGGTGATAGGTACTATAATCTCCATTTTCAGAGCTGAAAAAAAACAAGGCTCTGTGGGGGCAAGCAGCTTGCCTACATCACTAGTAGGTGGGAGCTCCATAACACCAAATCTGAGTCCTTCTGGCTTCAGAGCCTACGTCCGCTGCCCCACACTGTCTCTCAGAGGCAATAACATGTCTTTTGGCAATTTCCTTTCTCTTATGAATTGTTCTTCAGTTTAGATTTCTCACCGTATCCTTTTCCCCCAAACAAAATAATCTCAGCCTGACAAGGGGCTTATAGCACCTTGCTGGTTATGTGAGCAACCACGTGTATGCGTCTGCTCCGTACAGGTTCTCTTCCCTTCAGAGCAGACTCAAGTGACGTTGGGGCAAAGGTGGGTAGGAAGATGAGGAACAAAATACCCATCTCTTCTGGCTTAAATGTCATAGCTCTACTGACGTACAGACACACGCACTGTGAGAAAGCAGGAGAGAAAGATCCAGGGCCTTCTTGGAGCACAAACCAAATCAGGCTGTGGCTAAATCCACACTGACTTGTGAAGACCACTAGAAAGAGCATATGAAAAGGGATGAGCATACACTGGTACTCAGAACAAGGTCATTTCTTCCTTTCTTTTTTTTTTTCTTTTAAAAAGATTTTATTTATTTATTTGACAGAGAGAGAGAGAGCACAAGCAGGGAGAGTGGGAGAGGGAGAGGGAGAAGCAGACTCCCTGCCGAGCAGGGAGCCCGATGTGGGACTCGATCCAAGGACCCTGGGATCATGACCTGAGCCGAAGGCAGACGCTTAAACCACTGAATGACCCAGGCGCCCCAAGGTCATTTCTTCCTAAAAGAAGAATTATTACTTATAGTGTATATTAGAATATATAGAATATATTACTTAGAGTGTCCTGAAGGGCAATGGGGGAGGAAAAACCACCTGGGGATCAGAAATGACCGTGAACCCATTGGGTTCAGGCAGCACCACCCCTACCACAGTCCATCGGTAATTCAGAGGCAGAAGACACAGCAATAATATATGTTAGTTGCATCTAATTCAAACTGTAATTTTGGCAGTTATTTCCAAGCTAGTGTGTGTTCATTCAGAGTGCCTACTCTGTACCTAGAGCAGGGAGGGGTAAGAAGAGATGAACCAGAAATAGTTCCTGCCTTAAGGAGCTCAGAATTGGTAGGGAGGGTAAGACATGGGTACACATAATTAAAAAAAAAGAAAAAAAAGTAACACAGTGATTAATGTTACAGGAGCATCACCCGGTAAGGGCGGAGGAGTCTCAGAAAGGAGGAAGGTTTACTCCTAACCTACAGGATTAAAAAAACAAAATGCTTCGTGGAGGAGGTGGTAGTTGGGCTGGCCTTTGGATAAGCAGGAATTCAGGGTGGAGAAATGAGGGATGGCAGTGGGACGGCAGAGAAGAGAGAAAGGCCTTCCATCTGGTATTTACTGTAATGCGGCCAGAGGACTGCCTGTGTCAGAATCTGAGGAGGCCGTGTTTGAACTGTATCTTGAGAAACCCGTAGGATTTCCACAGACAAGAGATGGAAGGAAAAGTATTTTCCAGAAAGCGGCAATGTTCCCTCCTCTAAGATCTTGCTGTACATGTGCGGTTCTTACTTAGGCAGCCACTTTGTTCCCCTGACCTCCCAGTTCCTTATCATGAAATGGCTGTCACTCATTCACCCCAGAGTTGGTTGCTGTATGGTTGGAAGTAGAGGCTCTGACCAATCAGAGAGTGATATCTGTTACTTTTCTATTGCTTTCAGGTTTCGGACTTTTAACATGCTCAGCTGAAGTGCACTAAACGCAAACAGAAACCACTGTTCGGGGCTGCCTCCCGTCATCTACGTGGTCTCAGGAATGGATTCTCAAAGCAGAGTCTACGGACCACCTGCCTCCGAGTGGACAGTGGGGTCTGCCCACATGCACATCCCGGGACCCCACCCCAAAGCCGCTGAATCACAATCTTGCAATTATTGTCTGAGGCTCTGAAAGTTCTCCAGGTGATTCTGAAGCGCACTACAGTTGGAGAAATCTTGAGGGGGGAGAGCGAAGGCACGAAGGCAAGAGAGCAAAGGGATACTGTGAGTAGAATCTGATGTGTGTGAATGGAAGAATGTGGGCCTAGAAAGGTAAGCTGAAGCTACGGTGTGGGAGGCCTTCACTGTCTGGGGCAGGGGGTGGATGTGTATTCCTGGCAACAGGGAGCCATTCTTTTCAGGGGCAAAGTGAAGTGGGGGAGAGCCTGGAGTCTGCACTACTAGCTACGTAACCTTGGACTAAGCTGTTAACCTCGCTCCGCCTCAGTTTCATCATCCATAAAATGGGAATACTCATCATACTCATCACACAGGGTCATCATGGGAGTAAATGAGTTCATGTCGATGAAGTATTTAGAACTGAGACTGGCGGGGCGCCTGGGTGGCTCAGTCGGTTAAGCAGCCAAATCTTGATTTCGGCTCAGGTCATGATCTCAGGGTCGTGAGATCGAGCCCCACTTGGGCTCCACGCTGAGTGTGGAGCCGGCCTGGGATTCTCTCTCTCTCCCCCTCTGCCCCTCCCCGCCCCCCGCTTGCATGCTTGCACTTTCTCTCTCTCTCAAAAAAAAAAAAAAAAACTGACGGGCGTTAGTAAGTACAATATGTGTCAGCACAAATAGTTTTTTTTTAAAAGTAAGCTCTACGCCCAACGTGAAGCTTGAACTCATGACTCTTTCAGCTGGTGGCCCTTAAAATCAGTGTTTCCTTCCTCCCTTTTGTGAATGGACTGCCCTCCCCCGCCAACCCCGGCTAAAAACCGAGGCCACCATAGAAAATTCCCTTGCTTACGACACTGGCCAGGCATTTCCCTCTCCTCTAAGTCCTGCTCTCCAGAACGGCAGCACCCCTCTGTCTCGGGCTACGGGACACATACCTCTGCACACCCGGCAACAGGAATCCGGAACAGAGACTGGGAATGCACAGGTTAACTTGGGGCAAGTCTTGAGACCGCAGTACACATTCCCCTCCTGCGAAGGAGAAACAGAATTGAAGGTCAAGAGGACCTGGGATGAGTAGGGACTCAAAACATTCCTCTTCTTCTCAGTGTTCTCCCAAGGTTAGTTCTAGACACTTCCTAAATGACATTATGCTTTATTTTTTCCTGTTTACTCTTTCTCCATGCCAGAGACTATGTTACTGAAGAGTTGGCCCTCCTCTTTGGACCTCCTGGTCAAAGACGGTGCAAAAGCAGTCCGTGTAAGGGACGCCATCGGCCTGCCAAACCCCCAAATATGGTCTTGCTCCTCTCTTTTCTGTTCATTATATCCTCTGGTCCCCATCACACCCCAGCTGGATATTGGGATTTCAGGGAATGCAGATTTGCATGAGAGCCACCTTTTATAACACTCCAAACCATGGAGACAAGTTCTCTGGGGTAATACAAAACTACACAAATGATTTGAATGGACAGTTCAGTTCAGCACAAGGCAAGGGAGAGGAGCAAATTTACCTGCTATGTCTGTCTTTACATACTTTCCACTTCCTAAAGTTCTATGTTCCAAACATCATTCCTTAAACCTTGTTCTTTTTTAAAAAAATATTTTATTCATTTATTTGAGAGAGAGAGAGAGCATGGGCAGTGGGAGGGGCAGAAGGAGAGGAGGAAGCAGACTCCCCACTGAGCAGGGAGCCCTGACATGGGGCTCGATCCCAGGAGCCCGAGATCATGACCCAAGCCAAAGGCAGATGCTTAGCCAACTAAGCCACCCAGGTGCCCCTAAACCTTGTTCTTAGAAGCATATTATTCTGGGGCTAGAAGGGTCCCTGAAAAGTCATTAGGAAGGGAAGGTCACAACCAAATTCTCCTAAACTACCGAGATACCATATTTTTACTAAAAGTCCCTAAGGGAGGAGATTCTAGAACTTCCTTCAGCAATCCAGTGTTTAATGCCCTTAAAGGCAAAAAAAGTTCCTACATCAAACTTCATTCCCTCACACTTGAGTTGAAACAGCCATTTTCTTCCATTTTCTGGTTCTACCTCTTACATTCTCTGCACTGCACAATTCAATGAAGATATAATCAATATACTTTATTCCTAAGGTATATACAGTTCTTCGGACAAGTAACATCAGAGGAATAACCATGTTTTGCTGAGAGAGTTCTCACTGCAGGGCATCAGGGGAAAACTGGTTGGGAGAATACACCAGAGATGGGAGCCAAGAGATAGCCCCGTTTTCTTGTGAACTGGACTGACTGGCCTTAGATGGCACTGATTGATTTTCTGCTCATGGCATCCCCAAGGCTTCAGATAGTTGAGTCCTTCTGATGAAGGCTTTGCTGGGGTGACTGTTTTAAAAAAGAGGACAGATCAAGACCATCAGCGCATGTTTGTCCATTTAAACGATCCTAAAGCTTTAATAAAGACCAGGATATGATTGGGTCTGATTTCTTTCACACAGGTCAGGGTTGTTCAGGGTTCATGAAAATCAGGGAGTCTGGATTGACAGGGAGGCTTAGGATTGAAATGCAATTCGTCTTGGGGCATCCTGGGTGGTTGAGTCGGTTAAGCGTCCAACTCTTGCTTTCAGCTCAGGTCATGATCTCAGGGGTCGTGAGATCGAGCCCCGTGCTGGGCTCCGTGCTCAGCAGGGAGTCGGCTTGAGATTCTTTCCCTCTCCCTCTGCCCCTCTCCCCGCTTGCTCTCTCTCTCTCTCTCAAATAACTCAATCTTTTAAAAAAAATAAATGCAATTCGTCTTCCTTCCAAACACCTTACAGTGTAGGCTCCAAGTAAAGGTGTAAACGCAGGAGGAGCTCTGGTGTTGAGGTAGGGCCAGCAGGGACATTAGGACGCCAGGTCTTACCGAACAGCTGCACTGGGTACACTGATTGGGTTGCCGGTTCTGAAAGAGCCCTTCAGCCACGAACAGCTCACCGTGTTGGTAAGTGGTCCCGTTGTACTCACACGACTTGCTGGTCACCTTATTGTTTGCCGGGGGTAGGGAGTCTTCTGGGACAGGGTGGAGAAAAACCACACCGAGTATTGGCATCACTGCAAAGAATTTCATAAATCCCGACAGCAGATGGGGCTGTACCATGTAGAAGGAGTTAAAAGATAATCCCTGATTCAGTGGCTGATAAAGCAACCAGACAAGAATGGCAACGGACATGACCATCCATCTCTTCTTGCATTTGTTGAGCATTAATTGAGTGCCTACTATGTGCCAGGTACTGTGATGGGCACTAGAGAGAGATCAGAGAAGGATAAGGGCTCCTGCCTCCACGGAGCTAAGAGACCAGGCGAATGATGTGTTAACTTGCCCGGAAGGAGGGAGTCCTTTCAGAAGAGGAACCATCCATTATAACTACCTTGGTAATTTTACCCCCTCCCATGTTTTGTATCACTTGGCGTGTGCTTGTATGCTTATTCCGGCCTCCGGAGTCCTTGCTTTTTTTTTTTTTTTTTTTTTTTTATGAAATATAGTTGACACACCAAGTCTTTGCTTATTTTTAATTCCACCACCCAGATCATCCTTCTCCTCCCACTCTTTTCCACCTGCTGATGTCCTGTCTGATTTTGGGGGCTCAGGCAAAGTCCCTTTTCCTCTACGAAGCATTCCCTAATAGCTCCAGCCCACAACCTGGCCCTCTCCAGACATGTGATTTCCGAAGTGCACAATCCGGCACTCGAATGTTACTGTAACTCCCATTTGTGACTTACGGTCACCTAGCCAACAATTTATGAAGAGATTTCACATACATTACTACAAGAGAGCCTCACAACAACCCTATCAACCAGGTAAGGCAGATCCTTAACTCCATTTTCCACTTGAGGATAACAAGCCTCTGAGGTTGACTTTTCCAAAGTCCTGGATGTAGTAAGTGATGACCCCAAACTCCATCTTCTTTCTGTCAACTTATGTACACACGTGTAGGTATCACTTTTTAAGGTCCTTAAAAGTCTCTCTTCTCTGTGGCATCTAATGCAGGGCTGTCCTGTAGCAAGAAATCGATGCACCAATGCACTTGGTGAGTTGACTCTAATGAATGGACTCAAGATGTCTTTTTACTGGGCTTCCTTCAAATGCACGGTGTACATGCATGCGTGTACACCTCATGTACTCGCACACACACACCCAACAATGAACAAGCCCCCAGATTAAACTCATCACTGATGTGCAAATGCACACCAGATATAAACGGGGCTTGGGAAGTGCCCTTTGTGGAACAGTGGAAGAAGAGAAATCAGGGGAGTTGTGTGTTTCGTTAGGGGAAGGCTTAGACAGTTAGACCATAGTTTCTTTCCCATCAGGCAAAAGTATAATGCAAATGAGTCCATCTTATGGGTTAATTATACCTCAATACATCTGTTTAAAAAAACAGAATGATACTCTGGTTTCTCTTCAGATCGTATAAATGTTTCGCTTTTTGAAAAAAAAACAGAATGAAATGATTCTTAGGATGTAGGTGAAATGATAAAGGCTAATGGTAATAATAATAATAATAATAATAATAATAGCTAATAGCTAATATTTACTGAGCCCTAATTGATATGCAAGGCACAATGGTGAATACTTTTCCATACATGATTGCATTGGCTTTTACTAGTAACATTCTGAAATGGACACGGTTATGCCCATTTTGCTGATGGGGAAACTAAGGCTTAAGAAACTAACTGTCTTGTCCCAGGTCGCACAATTTGTGAGCTACAGTAGCACCAACATCTGAACTGATGTCTGATTCTAGAATCTTCCATCCTGGCCACTATCAAGGAGGGTGTTAATCACATCAAACCTGTAACACGGGAGGGACCATTTAATTTAAAAACCTAAACCAATGGAACATGAAGGCTGTGTTGTCCCTCTAGAATGTTTTGGCCTACCATACCCAGGAAACTGATATCACACTTATTTTGGCTTCAGCGATTTGCATAACTAACTCAATTCTATACTTTGCTATATAAATTGATCTAGCTGCAATTTCTGAGTAACTCACTCCTTGGGTGTTAACTACTTATTAATGACTCCTTACAGGATACAAAAGTAGTTCCTTAAGAAGCCTTAGGGGCACCTGGGTGGCTCCGTCGGTTAAGCATCTGACTCTTGCTTTCGGCTCAGGTCATGATCTGAGGCTTGTGAGATCAAGCCCCACGTTGGGCTCCACACTCAGCAGGGAGCCTGCTTGAGATTTTCTCTCCCTCTCCCTCTGCCCCTCCCCCTGCTTGGACGCTCTCTCTTTCTTAAATAAATCTTAAACAAAAGAAAAAAAAGAAGAAGACTTCGCTCCTAGAGAATGTTTAACTCATACCAGTTGACCCTAAGTCCCTGCTCCTGCCCACAAGTACACACAACCAGACAGCTGCAGCTGGTAGACAGGAGTGAAACTCACTGGAGAAGGGACAGGGGCAGGCCCATTCACCCCCCTGGGCTCTAATTATACCAAATCTCAGTATTTTGTGGTGAAAGAAAACTGGGATGACCTACAAAAGAATATCTACCATGACTCTTACAGGAGTTGACAGATCTTTGGAATGCCAAAAGAAGAAAAAGAAGGTTGGAATTATTTTGCCTCAGAAGAATGTGGATTGATTTTTGAAATGGGCCTTTGACCAAGGGATCAACGGGGAAGCAACTGCAGGGTGAGGTTTTCCAGTGGAATCATGACCCTGAGAGTCTTTCTTGCAACAATCTCAGAGTAGCCTGGCATAGAGTCTATTAATCTACTCAACAGGAGATAGGGAGAACGCGAAAGAGAGAAAGACAAAACAGAATCAAAGAAAAAGAAACCAATTATGAGCATGCTTACTGCTAGTTTTACACAATAAATTTATCTTAATTTCTTTCCATTTATTCTTTTTTTTTTTTTTTTAAAGATTTTATTTATTTATTTGAGAGAGAGAGAATGAGAGACAGAGAGCATGAGAGGGAGGAGGGTCAGAGGGAGAAGCAGACTCCCTGCTGAGCAGGGAGCCCGATGTGGGACTCCATCCTGGGACTCCAGGATCATGACCTGAGCCGAAGGCAGTCGCTTAACCAACTGAGCCACCCAGGCGCCCTCCATTTATTCTTATTTCATTCTTTTAATAGCCCTAACGGAGTGGTAAGAGAATTACAGAAATGAGGCTACTGATATCCCCAAAGATTTGGCCCATGTCACCCAGGTACTCAACAGGAAAGCCAACTCAGAAATAGAGTTTTCCTGTCTCGAAGTTTGTGTTCTTTTTACAGAGTGGGTGTTAAACATTGGCAGATGGAAAGAAACGGAAATCCATACCTGGAAGAGATATCTGTGCTCCCATGTTTATTGCATCCCAAGCTCATTGCAGCATTATTCACAATAACCAAGGTAAAGAAACAGCCTAAGTGTCAGTCAGTCAATGAGCTGATAAAGAAACTGTGGTACATATATACAACGGAATATTATTCAACCTCAAAAAAAACATCTCGCCACTTGCAACAACATGGATGAACCTGGAGGACATTATGCTAAGTGAAATAAGCCAGATACAGAAAAAAAAAAATTGCATGGTCTCACTTTTTGTGAAATCTAAAAACACATCAAATCTATAGAAGCAGAGAGTAGAACGGAGGTTACCAGGGCCCAGGGGTGGGGGAAATGGGGAGATGTTGGTCAAAGGGTATAAAGTTGCAGTTACATAAGATGAATAATATGTCTAGAGATCTCATGTACAGCATGATGAGTATAATTAATAATACTAGGTTGTATCCCGGACATTTGCTAAGAGAGCAGATTTCAAGTGTTCTCCCCACAAAGTAAATGGTAACTATGTGAAGAGATGATGCTAATTAGCTTGACTCTAGTAATCATTTCAATACATATACATATGTATATCAAATCAGCATGTTGTACATCTTAGACATATACAATTTGTACTAAAGAAAAGAAGTGTTTTTTAAACTGGGAGGTAGGATCATGGAGTCAAAAATCCCAGCTTGGGTACCCACTCTCCATAACCTTGCACAAGCCACTTTTCCTTCTGGGCCCCAATTTTTCTATCTAAGAATGGGATGTGTGGAAGTGTTGAATCACTATATTGTACACCTGAAACTAATACAGCACTGTATATTAACTACACTGGAATTAAAATAAAAAATATATATATGAAAAAAGACACCCCCAAACTTAGTGGATAAAAACCCCAAATCATCATCATAATAAATTAATTAAATGGGCATGGACACAAATGTTAGCTGCACAGTAAAGTGGAACAACAAGGTCCTTACAGTCCTAATTTATAACGCAAAGTAAAGAATGCACACTCTCAGAAATAAATAAGAAATAAATAAGTTGGAGAAGTGACTTGTAATCTGCAGTTTTATCAAATAAAAATGGGTATTTGCTTCATTAAAAAAATGGGACATGGGACTCAAATCTCCTCTTGCATCTTTAGAAGGCCAACACAGCATGCAGGGCGCCACAGAAGCAAGGAAGACCACCTGGTACTCTACGATCTCCCTTCCTAGATTTTCCAAGGTGGCTGGGCTTCTAACCAACTATCCTTGGAACACATTTGGTATTCCTGGCTGAACACTGGCAGAAAATCAGTCCAAAGCAAAGCTGGCCTCAGGGCCCCTCAGGGGAATCCTACTCTGAGGAGGAGTGGGACAAGGACATCGTGGGGTCAGCAGACAAGTGCGAAGCCACGTGACTCCAGTTGTGCTGGGAAAGAAACTGTTCCTTCCATGCTCCCCACACCCCCATTAGGGATGGTCTCCCATGTAGCAGAACTATGACTTCTGGGGAGCTGGGAAAAACACTCCCCTATCCTCAATCTCTCTCCCTTCCTTTCATCTCACTGGTGCCTAAAATGCCATCACTAGAAGTCCATTTCTTTGGGGTAAATGGTTGCCCTTTTGCAATCAGATTTTATAACCCCAGTATTTCTGTGAGAGGTTACACATTGTCCAGAACATCTCAGTATGAATAATTTTGCCACAAGTTTGTTATGCTTTGTTTTTTGCTCTTCAGAGAAACTGGCAAATTTTACCAAGA